CACGGGCATATCGCGCTAGTATAGATGAACAAAAAGCTTGAGCATAGAGAGAAAGACAGAGAGAGAGAGAGAGAGAGAGAGAGAGAAATTCTCAATGCGCATGAGTGAGCTCAACTCTCAAGTTCATCCGGCTTTGCAAGCGCGTTAACCCACGGCGAATATTCGCTGATCCACAGAAAACGTCGCTAGAACAGCTATTTTAGTTGAGTTCAAATAGGGAAATAAAAGCTCTCTACTCATTTATTTTTCAGACGTTGGATTCAGATAATATTTCTTGGTAAGATGACTTACTTGGTGTTACAAAGCATTGCCAGTCACGTCATTTTATCTCACTGTGTTTAATATATAGAAGGCTGAGATATAAAAAAAAGAAACATTGACTAGTATTTATACAGAAAATGTAACTAGAGAAAAACTTGAATATAAATGGCTTATTTACTGCGAAAACATATCAACAAAACAAAAACTTAACATCTACTTGAGCCAAGCTCATAGCAATACGTATGCGCGTGCAAAAAGCAAACAATGATGGTCAGTGAATTGAAGTAGTGCTTCTTTTCTGCTATTGAATTTCAAGCAGCAATAATCCATCAGTCTAGAATAATCAAAGCCTTATCCTATCCAATGCAGAAGATATTTAACGATAACTATTTCAGTTTACTAGCTTTGTAAAAGCTCTATATTTTCTTAAAAATTAAACGTTGTGGAATTATTTAAAAATATTGTATTACTTATATAGAAAGATTCGTGATGAAATTTCGAAAATTCAAAATAAGATAAAAAATGGATGGAATAGAAAAGAAACGATGTTGTGTAAGTGAAAATAGAGGAAATATTGTTGACATCAATAGATTATAGAACGAGAATAATACATATAACATTATTCCCGCCTTTTCTGAAAAATCATACGATTCATTTAGTTTTAAAACGTTTAGATAATTTTCTAAAATACGTTGAACAGTGTATTTTCTATACTGAATCAGCAGCATTTCAATAACTGGACGTTTGTCTTGAATTTGTAGAAATCCATTGTTAAATGATGGAAACGTCATAATTAAGAAAAAATAAATGGTTGAGAAATGGTACTGGGCACTGAACTAATAGTTCGATTTGTCGGCTTAACCTCAAACTATTTACTGCATGCGTAACTAGTACTAATAACATTGTACGTGCAATGGGGTCAACGTAATTTATATGTATTCGCTGACAAGGTTGTCTTTGCGGTTAATTCTACTTCGACTGCTGTAAATTAATGTATTCAATATGTAAATTAATTAAACCCTATTATAAAAGTATCAATTATATTATTTTTTTGCATATTCAATGAAAGGTGCTCGATATTAAAAAAATGATCATATCAGATCTTTTTGCTATATATACAATATTCTTAGAAAAGAACATCCAACATAAATAATTTTCTATTCACGTCCTATATATGCTAACTTTTTTTTATTCCTGACAGTTTCTACATTTTTCATAGTCATGTATGTCGTTTTATTTCGTTATTTTAAATCTTTAAAATCTTTTCAACAACGTGTATAGCTGAGCTTCGTAGCTGGTATTATTCTTAAAGCGGAATGAGCTGTCGAGAAATTAAGATGGGATAGTCTAGCGACGAATCCTCCAAAGATTTACATTCATCCTCTTACTAATTACCCTGCTTTCTCTATCTCTTCTCCGGGGGAGGAAAACTCGTTGGCCAAAGAAGCTTAACTCATAAGTACAGCTAATAGTTTTTATAAGGTTAGATTTAAGCTTATTTCAACCTTCGCCGTCTCTTTAGTTTTTGAGACTTCTAGAAAAACATGATGAAAGTACTTCAAATCTTGGTGAATAAAGGTTTTCGAGGCGAAAGAAAATCACAAAGACAATCTTAACAATCTAATTCAAGATCCATATTTCTACTTTTACTTACTTTTAGAATATTTTTCTATTTCTATATACTGTAATTAAAAAGGGGTAGCTTATGTAGAATAGAAAACTTTGAAGTCTTCACCAGAATAACAAAATAGCCTCTATTACAGTAGTTCGGATCTTTTCACTATTCTCTTCAATGTTTAGTGGACCGTGAAAAAGTGCTTTCATAAAAGAATACTTTATCAGACCATTTACTTCAAGTTCTTTGAAGTATAGAAGCTCTCTCTCTTTCTGGAATAAATTTTAGAATGTACGGCAAACAATTCAATATTTATAAATTTCCTCTTTCCAAAGACTATTAAATGATTGAGATATTCCACTTGAAAACTTCAAAGTTCAGAACCATCGGATTTCCGCAGTTACCTTAACAAAATACAGTCTTGATGTGCGAAGAAAGAGTAGAAAAAAGTAGGTCATCAACGATAGGTCATCTATATATCAACAAAATAATGAGTTTCGTACTAGGAAACCTTTTTTTCAGAGGTTTAAAGAATAGCATCTGGTGTAAGTGCGTATCGATCCTCGCGTCGATCCTAAATTACGATATAATTGCAGAATTCAGACAGCCACTGTTTCTTTTGTCGATAATAAATCTACATAAACTAGTGCTACTACAGCGACAAACGTTAGCGAAGGTTAGACGCTGGCTTTAAATTAACGCGGTATTTTCATTTGGACATAATTGACTTTCTTTTATTTTCTCTTAAAAAATACATATTCCACGAGAGACTTAAATTACAATTATACACCGTAATTCGCATTAGATTTTCTATTCATGAGATGATAATTATAATAAAGCATTTTCCTTGGAAATTATGAGATTGTCTTTACTCTACGATTGTCTCTAAACTAATTATTTACTGTTGTTAACACAACGCAAATTAGATTCCGTGAAAATCGTGCTCTTGTAATTATTGCTTAATTGTTTAGCCGATTACTGCATGAGATACATTACAAATTAAATAAATACATACATATATGTGTAGCTATACATGTAAATAGATTTTATACGATCGATCGAATAAATAATTGCCGATAACGCTAAAAGTGAGTGCATTAACTGTTTGTCGGTGTCAACTAGACGCTGCGGCTACTTTGAATAGGTTAAAATGATATTAAATAATTGCAATGTACATATACGAGAAGATTAGATAAGCAAACAAATTTAAAAGCTATCAGATTCTGGCTCTGCATGCGCTTGAAAAGCCATTAGCCATTTACATGAACACACGGGCATGAATTTCTTGCTGGTTTGCACGCTAAGTCTGCCTTTGTTGCAGCACGTGATGTAATAATTTATGAAATTTTTCTTCTAATTATCGCTTTACGAAATTTTTGAAGAAGTAGATATCCTTTTTAATGATTTTTCTTCAATATTAATCGTCATTTTAACATTCATTGGATATTTGATCTGTTTTTAAAATTCATCCAATGGTTTTTTCCAACTTTAAGCATTTTTAAGCATAGATCTCTATAAGGAAAGAGAGTTGTGGTCATCAATCAATTTAGCTAAAAAATAAATCTACCTTTCTGCCTCCTAACGAAAAAAACTTTGCCATGGCGTTGCACTTCAAAGTTCTCAAGCTTCAGCGATTTTAAATTTCCGCGCGGCTAACACACGTCGATGGGGACGTTCGATAATGTTTATACAAATGACCGCGCGCGTGGCTTTTCTCATTCCTATTCTTACGTGTTTATCGAGAACGCCAGCCGCGATTCGTTTTATTTCTTACGATCGATCTTTTTCCGCACGTGCGTTTACGGATGTAAATTACTCGTCGAGAAACTGTTCGTCGATCTTGTTTCCTTCGTCTTCAATTTCAGTGCGCCAGACTTTTATTTTGTCCTTCTTTTTATCGATACTTCGAAAGAAATATAACTGACAGATATTTTTCCGATGTATTGCATGTATTCTATCATGTATTCGACAGTTTTCTCTTTCACAATGTTGAGTATGAAATTGCAAAAAAGCTTATCTTTCAGAAAACTTTGCAAATTGAATTTCATAGTCTTTCCACAAAGACCATTTCAAAGTCAATCCTTAAAAATTGAATCCGTAGATGTATGTCATTCATCAGAGATCCTTTCAATGAAATCTTTTTTGGATGTATTTCTTCTTGTCCACTGGCTACAGTTGACCCTCAAGATATCTTACAAACGTTTAACTGATAAAAACAGAAAGCTTTGAAAGCATGAAAATCCTTACAATTAAGTATTCACGGTCTCATTCTCTGAAGAGAAAAAAGAGGGTTTCTTTACGTCTTTCAGTTATCCTTATATCACATTTCCCTTTGGCTTTTATGTGGCCATTTACTGCCGGTGAAATTTTCAGAACTCGTTTGCACCCTCGACGATAAGACGTGTGGTTCTTCTTTTCCTTCTTTTTTTACGAGGTTGACTGTTGATGCATCGATTGCACGTGTGCAATGTGTAATGAAAAACAAACGCGAAATAACAAAAGGACATAGATGATGGGCGTTTAGCACTCGACAGAGTTATTTTATTTTGGTATTTAGTGTAAGTTATTTTTATAGCTTCCTTGTATCGCGACATATTGACGTTTGACATGGAAAATGTCTGTCTTGCTGTTTCCAGGAAATGCATGCACGACGAAGATGAAATGTTGTCACATCTTTACAAACGCGTAATGTTTGTCGCACGTGGAGTGCTAAAATTCAATTTACTTACCATCGTTTCAAACGAACATAACTCTCGCAATCGTTTCAGCTTGAGTATACATCCCGCATGGCTAAAGACAGCTTAAAAGAGCATGCAAGTAAAACAAGTAAACGAATGTACAGGCAGAATTGTTAATAGGTATGCGCTTGTTATATGTACCTTTAGCACATTAAGTTTTTCATACAAGAGTATAAAGAAATGTAGAGTCTTTTTCTTATAACTGAATTTAAGTTTCTACAATTCTCTACGTAATTTGTTACGAAATATTAAAAAATTGTTTTTTGCTTTATAAATCTCCTTAGAACCAATTACACTTATGTACACTAGCTAAAAGCTACATAAATAAAAGTTACATGCATAATTTTCAAATAAGTAAGTGGAAAGACGATAAAAACACAACTCACCGTTGTTTGTTCTAGCACGTGGCGGCGAAGAGGTCTCGGCGGGTGGTTTGGCTGAAGCATTGCCTGCTCGAGAAGCATTGTCACGTGGCTGAAATTGCGGCCCCTCGAGATTCGGACTTGGACTGAACTCCATACGAAAATCTGCTCTATCGTAACCCTGGTCATCCCAGTCGGACGATTGGTTCACTTCGTCCGGTTCTAACTCACCCTTTTCATACTGCTCGCGCAACACTGAACGCCATACTGCAAGATTAGATCAAAAAATAAGATTAGTTTATACTTACGAAACTTTTAGCTAAATAGTTAGTTATTCAAGGTTTGTTGCAGGATCCTATCTATTTATGATAGATATTGTATTAACATTTTAAGATTAGTGATTACTATGGGTTTTAAATTGAGGGGCATTTATCGCACATTAACGTCGACATTGCTAATGCTCAACGTAACAAAACAATTCTTCTCGTATTGTCGAATTTTAATAATTTCACAACTGCTCTTCTGATAATCCGAAAATATTATTTCGATAGCTATACTATGGAATATGTTATTATAATTTCCAAAAACATATACATTCACAAGTATCATTACGGTTTAAGAGCTTATACCTCTTTTCATGGTACATCTCTTTAACCGCAGTTCTATTACCGCCTGTGAAAGTTCGAATGTGTTTTGCTCTCTCTTCACCCTATTGGTAAAGTTGGATATTCTCGTAGTGCAACGTGCATTCTTTCTACAAATCATTATCACACGATTTTGAAGCCATCTCTTTATGAAAAATATACTTTTGCATACCCGAAGTAACAACGATCAAGAATATTGCAGAGACTGTTCTCTTGACCACAAGAGAGAGAGAGAGAGAGAGAGAGAGAGAGAGAGAGAGAGAGAGAGAGAGAGAGAGAGAGAGAGAGAGAGAAGGAACTGTGATCCATGAGCTCGCTGTTAAGAGAAGTAAACTTTAATCCTACGTTTTGGAAAGTTAAGCTCATTTTACACTGGATTCCTTGGCCTATTCTATTTAATTGAGCATTTTATTCACTGTATTCGCGATACATGTTTTCTTGGTAAACGTATTTGACGTTGGAAATCATATTCTATTAACTTTCGATCATAAATGAATGAGAAACTTACGTATTTGTTTCAATATTCAAACACTTTTATGTCAATTTTCAACCATTTACGTTATCAAACGTAAACGTACTACGTATCTATCTTGAAATAAAAGGTAAAAATACGCCTGCAAAAAATGTGTCTTTTTTTTAAGTGTTTAATTGAATTTCTGATTTAATTTTTTTACGCAGTAATATATCGTTCAAATAAACGACGTATTCATAAAATCATATGTGGATTTCAATTAATTATATGAGTGGCTTGCACACGATTTTTATTGATGAAGGATTAACATTTATTCAATCATCGAAAAACTCGTTGAAGAGCACTTTATCGATTATCGCTCGACCTAAGGTAGCAGCAGTATATACAAAGGATGCGTTCCTGTCTCCCCGATCTCGCTGAAGTAGGATAATTCCAAGAACCCATTAATATTTCCGTACGGTACATCATTAGACGGCTTACGGCCGATAATAAACCTTAATGGCCGTCGATCGCGAAACCTCTATAGATTATCGCATTAGCTACTCATAGTTAAAAGGATATTTTTAAAGCTGTTTGAAACGCTGATGTGCAGACTACACGACTCAAAGTTCTGCATTTAATATTCTTGATTGTTTTCTTTCTATGAAAAAATACTCAACTTGTACTTTGCAAGTCAAAGCGAAAAAAAGCTACATTGACAAGTACAGTAAGATGACATAATAAAAGTGTAACCCTATGCAATAGAACTAGGCACATGCAACATTGCCGTCGTTGGCACGTTCCGATCGTTGGGCTAAAGCCGATGTTTACCTATAATCTCCGTACACATAGTTGTAGCAGCGTGGTCATTTTGTTCTTTTACGCGCACTCGCAAGCAACGAATGTCGGCGTTATCTCTCTCTCACTCGCAACGACGCGCGTTGCGTATAAGTGGTACGTGATAAACTTACGATCGCTTTTAACTTTACTAAAACGACACTTTAATTATTATTAGCTGATACTCGTGTATTGCTGCAGCATCGAAATATTCTGTGTAAGGTGTTGAGCGAACAGGCTTTTTAAATTACGTATAGATTTGTAGCAGGGATAGATTGTGACGTCTCTACTCTCTCTCTCTCTCTCTCTCTCTTTCTCTTTCTCTCTCTGTCAAGAGAATTGCAGTTGGAATTTTGATTTAAGTGAATTGTGAGCTTATACCACGTCAGCTTTTAGCAAACACTTAAGTTCGATCTACTTCTTGTTCTCGTGACTTTATGATAATAAAATGCAATTTATAAGGGTGCAACCCAAAGTTGGCAAGTTTTTACTCCAATTGAAGTAGGTGCAGTTAGTTTAAGTAAATTAATGTACTATCAAGCATATGCAATACATGATACAATAAATAATAAGCGGAATTTATCAATCACCAAAAAACCGTTTTTTGCAATAATTTATCAGTAATATATCAAAGTAAAATAAGCATTAACGAATAGCACACACACACATATCAAAATGTATTTCGTGGAAACCGTATTTATCGCTCGAGCAGCTGATTAACAATGTAACTTTGTTATACAACCTACGCAAGTGCTTTTAACGAGGTATCCATGCCATTAACCACTCAAGTAGAGTGGATTAACTATAATAAGTTATAGTTACAACGTCGACTAGCTCAACGATATTGTTTATCATAGTATGTAAATCACATTAACAAGTAACTTTTTTTATAATTAAAGCATTTTTAATCATTTTCCTTCAAGTCCAAATTGCAGAGTTTTACAATGAGTAATACAACTAAGATGGATTCTCCAATCCTTTATCATTTTTATAAGATTTGAAAAGTTTTATACATCACGAGGGAGCAAAGTTATGCAATTTATTATCTAAAAACTTGGCCGATATTATATTCTCCATAAAATATCCGTTACATGTTTGATATATCACAGTCATAAAGCCAATGGCGTGAACAGTATTAAAAATCTGTATAGACTGCAAGGGGCAGTGCATTTTGGAAAATTCCGATGTTAGGCGTAATTACAGTTTCATAAAAATCGACCCGCGATTCGAAAAAGTCGAAGTTGACAAATCGCCAATGCTCTCATGTTTAGAGAGTTGCAATCGGAATTATTATTTCCTCGTGAGTAGTGAAAATTTCTTTTTACCCCCCCCCCCCCCCCCTCTCGCACACATATGTCGTTCACTCGACCTTATATTGGTGTATACCACCCTGCAAACTAACTCCGAAAAAACAAAAAAATAATAGCTCCTTAACGAGACAAATTCTTTTCTGTATTAAGTGTAATGTTAAATGGACCAACTGTGTTTTTTTAATGCAATTAATGTCTTTTGAAAATATTTATATTTTCTTAATCGTATTGCAGTTTTTGAACTGAAATAATTCGATGGTAATTAAAGCAGACATTGAAAAATAAACGTAAATAGGTTGAAACAGACTAAGGATTATTCAAATAATTTCGTGCGCAAATGCCAGTAAGTAAAGCTTCGTCTTTTTCTCTTATACTATACATATATATCAAATCGAAAGCTGCAAATAGATAATACATGTTCTACGTTTGTGCTTAGTTAAACAATAGTGAATAACAGTATACTATAATAAAGTATGGCAAAAAGTGATTAAACTTTAAAGTAATTACGCGCTGAATTAGCATTAGCTAGCTCCCATTAAGGCGAGATACAATCTGAGCTATTCTATTTGCTCGTAAAATGATGCTAGTCAAATGTATGGTCTGCTCATGTTTGCAATTTGAATCAATCACGAAAATTTATCAATACAGCAGCAAATATGTCAATCTCATTAGCAAGTCAGAGGATGTTCGAAGGTACGTTAATGACGTATTTGCAGCTAATAGTCTGCTTGTTGATAATTTATAAAATGACGGTCAAACATATTCAGTAGTAGAATTTCGACTGAATCGATTGTTATTTATGTTTTTAAAAGTATTTTAAAAACTGTTTCATTTGAAAGAAAGAAAATGATTGTTTGAAAGCTTAAAACATTTGAGGCAAGTGGTAAAACCACGTGAGAAGTCATCTCATTCATCCATTTATAAAGGTGAGCAAGTGAGTTAAATTCGAATCATTTCGAATTGAACGAGATTACGCTAAAACGGCTCGTCATTGGCTAATCAAAATTCGATTCGATTTGAGTCGAGTTCGAGTTTCGAATTCGAGTTTATCAAAACAATCAAAACAAATGGGAAGTTAACCTCATACAAACAAAAAGTATATTGATACCATAGTGAAATATATCAATAATTTAAAAATTATCAATGGTATAGATACTCATTTATAAATTATATCAAATATTCAGAAATATAATAAATGGCACTTATTACTCGCGCGCGTTGCGCGCTGATAAACTGGCTTGTATAAAAAATGAAATAATCAGATAACCTATGGTGGAAATTTAATGGTGATAAGAGTAATGCCGCAGTCCATGATGAAAGTCGTCGAGGGACAAATAATTGGGCGGTATTCAATTAGATTTGTTGAGTCCCAAGGGAATATCATGTGTTCTCGCCATGTATAACTAGTAATAACTAGCCCAGCTATAATCGACCACCTTTTAGCTACGTACCTCAACACGTTTTTAGTTGTAACTTATATCATTTGGACTGCTACGAGCCTTTAAATATTAATGAATTCTTGGAAATTACTGGGATTATTAAAAGATTATAAAATTGTAGAAATTTAGTTAATTTGTAAAAGTCTCACGGGTTATTGAGTTTGGAAGCTTTTTTTTGAAAAAATTTTGTTTGTTGTCGTAGTATGATGGAAAAAAATGTTATCTTCGTAGAATTTCTTACAATGTCACAATGATTTTTGAATGTTAAATTTCAAAGCTGTGTACTTTCACCTCAGTCAGAAATGTTACAGCGGTGCACAGATTGAAGTATATAATAGGTTATAACATTAGATTACAAATTTTCTTGAGTTAATAAGTCATTATTGCAAGTAAGTAAGTCATGAAATATGAAATAATCTTTTTAAATTTCCATATTTATGACATTAGAGGTAGAAATTTACAAATTTCAGGCATTGTTTGATATTAGAAAATAGTTTGTAAAGCCTGATCAAAATTTATGAGCAGCTAGATGTACTTTCAGGAAGCTAGTTTTGGCATTATAAACACTTTGTTCCTATGAATATAG